GGTTAGGCCATGGCTTGTCCTGAAACAAAATGCAAATGTGAAATTTACAGTTTATCAAAACAAATGTAAGGAATGAATGATACATGCATTTCCATTGCTCCCATTAGGTGGAATTGTTGTTATTTTTTCCGGTCTAAATGAAGCATCAGCTTCTTTTCCAGAACCGTCGGCACAAGTTTCTTTAAATACTCAACAAGGTTAGTTTACATTATGTATTAGTAATCGAAGGTTAATGAAATCCATGCTTACGAGCTGATCCAAGGACATAAACTTCGGCATCAGTAAAAGTGATGGCGTTGCATTGGTATAACAATACTCTAGTAATTGAACCAACACAAATTTCATGTCATGTTGATGGAAATTCAATGATCATGACTGTGCCATTGGACCACTCCCAAAGCCCATGAATATTAAAAAAGTCACCACGGCATTCGTATTCTTCTAAAGTCACACCTTCAATGAGCACATATGGGGGCCTTGATATATAATTGAAAAAATTAGTTTTCTTTAATAGGAAAAAGACGGGAATCACTTACTCAACATGAGTCCATTTAGCCTTTGGATGGAGGAGCCCTTGATCCCACCAAAGTTTTTGGAATTTTTTCAGTTCATCCACGGATTTGGAATAATCATCAGGCACCCAGTGACAAGAGTTCGAAACAGCATCATCACTATAAATAATATTTCTGGAGATTTAGAAAATTATGAAGAGATATACATACCAATTGCATATAAATCTATTCATAGACTTGCCTTTGGGTAAGTCAGGTATATGATTCTCAAGCATAACAATTTTTGCATGTAATTCAGCCTGCTTTTTTTGATGATAATATTCTCTTTTTCGATACTTACTTGCATGATTACAGCATGCACCATATGTAGAATATGTTAGCTTGCCACATTCCTGCCTTCTCGCATATATGCTCGAAGCCAGAGAAAAAATGGCCTATAGTAAGGTGAGTTATTCCTTATATATCAAGATATTTCCCCCTAATTTTATAACTGTCTATTCATACCCAGAATTAGATAAGTCAGGTAGATTCTCAAACATAGTAATTTTTGCACGTAATTCATCCTGTTTTTTTTCTGTGATAATTCTCTCTACTTTGATATTTGCCTACATGTTTTAGCATGCATTATGTATAGAACTATTTAGCTCACCACAATCTCTACAAGGAGATTTACAATGAATATAGCATCCTTTAGGATGATAACATCCTTGACCACAGATTTTTCCAGTTCTGTGAATATATTGGCAATGATAGAATGCCATTGGGTTTTATTGTTTTTGTATATAATAATTACTTCAATCAAATTTATATTATTTGGGCGAACTTGTTCGCTGAAATTTTTGGAATAATTAATTTTATTTTAAAGATTTATCTATTAATTATTATAGTTTCAAAATAATAATACATATATTACTACATATACTTTTTGTCAGATCAAACAACGCATATATACAAATCAATAAAATGAGTTTGTCTAGTGAAGCAAAAAAACATTTGTGGGAATCGTTACAACAACAGTGCCTAAATCAAAAATCCGTTGAATATAATGAGGCAAAAAAGCTTTTTACAGGTTTAACAGATCTTGATTATAAAGCTGGTCATAAAGAACATACATTTTATAAATACTGGCTCACATCTAATGGCCATGCCAGCTCTTCTGATAAAAATGAAACAGCACTTTTAGAGGCATACCAACCCAAAGAGATCCATTCTCAATATACAATTCGGATGGCAGGAAAAGGTTATACAGTGATTGATCATCCTAGAGAAGTTTATAGAATACCTGATACTCACGAATGTATTGATGGTAACCAGCCTCTTCGTTTGATTATTGATATTGATGCAAGGCAAAAGCCTGATTCTACAAATTCTAAAGTGCCTTCCTTAGACAATAAAAAAATTACACAAGAAGATTTGTTATCTCGAATTTTAGTCGCTTGTGCAGATACATTATATTCCACATTGGGTTGCATGGTATCATTAAATAACTTTGTTTTGGCAAGTTCATCAAATATAAATAAATGTAGCTGGCATATTATTTATCCTCATACTCGAGTTATTGATTATCAAGACCTTAAAGGTTTTGTGGGAAAAGTCATTGAATCAGTTGGGAACCCTATTCCAAATTTATTGATATTGGACTTTACAAATCCCACTTTAATCTTCGGCTTCTTGGATCAGCAAAAGAAGGATGTATCAAAAGACCAGCTATTTCAGTCAGGGAATATGCTAAATATGGAAATCGATTCTGGAAAAATTGGAACCCCCCTCATCGATCAATTCATATATGT